ACTACCCATGACCGCTCCAAAGGGGGGGGGAAGGGGGGGCAAAGCAAGACTGAAACCCAGCAGTACAAACTCTGAATGCCGTAGGTCCGTGCCTGATGTCAAAGGCTTTGACCTTCCAGCTTTGCGCCTGTAACACACCTTTTCCTCTTGGGCTGGTCTTCCTCTGTGTGCGGCTCTCCTCGGCAGATGTCTCATGGCTCTGGCACCTCTAACATTTTGGGGTCTCCAGCGAAACTCAGGTTTCACGTTCACAGCCTCTCAGGGCTTCCTGCACTCTCTGGGCGTTCATGCCACATTTTACCCATTTCAGTGGCTCTCTGAAGCTGTGGAGGAAGATTCCAGAACCCCTCACTCCCGTTCCTTCCTGACCCTAAAGCCAGCACCACATGGATGCCACTGTCAAGCTCAGCTGCTGGCTTGGGATTGAGTTGCTCCTGGAATCACATTGGTAGCAGCTTCTGTTTGTTGTTTGTTTCTAGTATCAGAAAATTCCTTGGCATTTTTCTTTCACAAGTTGGAAGCTTAGCTGGGTGGGGTTTTTCCTCAAGGGGACCCTTCTTCTTATTCCAGTGTAGATTTGTCCCCCCAACAATGGCACTAATCTCCTTGGTAACTGGAGTCTCTCGTTTAGCACAAGACTTAGTTGTAAAACTAACTAGTGTTCTTTTCCTCTCTAGACTACATTTTGTGTTTCTTTTTGCCCCCCCTTTTTACATTTTTCATTGTAGATCTGTAAAAGAGTGATTACTCATAACCATGGGACAGATAATTATGATGTCTTGAAATTTCTAGCCAAGAAATCAGAATATTACTTTTAAAATTAACAACAGACAAGTTCTTAGGACAAAGGCAGAAAGTGGCTACTGCCCACTCCCCAAAAACATCTCACAAGAGTGGTGTATAGCCCAGTTGCTGGTGTCGCTCCCCTTTGGAACCATTCGAGCTTGCCTCTGCAGTCCACATCGCTGTCAGTTCTGTCTTTTAAGCCCCTACTAGACAGCCTACTAAGTCTTACTTACATTGTTTGACTGCATTTTAGTTCCCAGTCCCAAAGTTTTCCACATTCTTCCACCACATGGTCAGGTTCTTTATGGTTGCACTGCAGTCCTGGTACCAACTGCTATCTTTATTTGGTTTCTGTTGCTGTGATAAAACACCATGATCAAGGCTACTAACTTACAGAAGGAAGAATTTATTTTGAGCTGTGGTTCTAGAGAGACAGGAGTTCATCTTCATGGCTGGGAAGTGTGGCAGTAGGGAGCAGGGTAGCAGGGATATTTGAGAGCTCATGTCTTGAACTGCTAGCAGGAAACAGGGAGGAGACATGAAATAGCATATGGCTTTTGAAACCTCAGTGATGTAATTCCTGCAGTGAGGCCGTCTTCCCACCCAGACAGCACCACCAACCGGGACCAGGTGTTCACACCTGAGCCTGTGAGGGACATTCTCTTTCAGACCGTCACTCCCCTGAAAACTGAATGCCAGGCCTGTTGGTGGCATAACACGTGTAGAGGTCAGATGGCAGCTGCCAGGAGCTCTTTCCTCCACCTTGATTGGGATCTCTGTTGTGTCTGCTGTGCTGAGTACTCCAGCCTCCCTGGCTCATAAGCGTCTGCTGATTGTCTGGCTCCCTCCTCACCTTAGGAGTGGGGATTACAGATGTGCACCAACATCCAGCTTTTTTCTTGTTTTAAGCCTGTGTTCCCGGGATGGTGTCTAGGTCAGGTTTTCATAGGGTTGTGACCTGTTGACCCATCTCACTGGCCCCACCTTTAGGTGTAGCAGTCTTTAAACTTATCATTTATCCTGTTTTTTTTTTTTTTTTTTTTTTTTTTTTTTTTTTTCGAGACAGGGTTTCTCTGCGTAGCTTTGCGCCTTTCCTGGAGCTCACTTGGTAGCCCAGCTCCTTTGTTTTCTGTCCTGATCAAAGAAGCAAGTAAAGTACCTAATTGCTTTTTCCTGCATTTTAGTATCAGCTTAAATATTGTTTCGTTACTACTATCAATTTTCTTTTCTCTGAATGGTAGTGAGGAGTATAAGTTAAAGAGAAGACCGTGCGCTGAAAAGATGCCCATAAAACAAAACAAAAACAATGGGGAAAAATTCCATCCCAACCGATGGGAAAAACAAAACCAAAAACCCACAATGTAGAATGCAGGCATGCACGCACTCACGCACACACATGTGCACAAACACGCACATACTTGCAGGCATGCCAAGCCATATGACCCCTCTGAAGCTCATAATTCCTTAATAACAGAAAACCAAACAAAACCCAAACCAAAACCATAACGAAATTGTTGAGGTACTAAAGAAAGAACTCAAATCCCACTTTAACAAATGATCAGCTCTGGGCTGTTCATGGTGGTGTACTCTTTCAATCCTGGCACCTGAGAGGCCTCAGAGGCAGGTGGCTGTCTGAAATCAAATCAGAGTGAATTCCTTAGCTGATTCTGCTTCCTCGGGCTGGATGCCTCTGAGTCCTCATCCAGATTGAATCTCAGCTGAACTGTGCTGCTCAAAGCCTAAAAGCTTAACCAGCCAAAAGCTTCTAGATTCTGGTCTTCACACCTTATATACCTTTCTGCTTTCTGTCATCACTGCCTGAGATTAAAAGCTCACTTCTTGGGATTAAAGGCATGTGTCACCATGCTTGGCTGTTTCCAATGTGGCCTTGAACTCACAGAGATCCAGAGGGATTTCTGCCTCTGGAATGCTAGAATTAAAGGTGTAAGTGCCACCATTTTCTAGCCTCTGTATCTAGTGGCTGTTCTGTTCTCTGACCCCAGATAAGTTTATTAGGGTGCACAATATTTTGGGAACACAATACCACCACATGGAACTGTAAAGGGGTCTTATCTGGGAGTGGGAGAGGGAACCAGTGGGAGGAGAAGGGAGGACAGGAGAAGGCAGTGGAGGTTGAATATGGTCCATGATCTACTTGTATGAAAACGTGACAATGAAACTCATCATTTGGCACAATAAATATATGCTAATAAAAAGCACACAAGTGACTTTGAGTTACTGTTCTTGTCAGTAACTACTTGAAGGAGTGGAACTGATATAGAGTCTTATACTTGTATAGTGCTTAATGTTCTTAAAACTGTTTTTACATGTGAAAAGTACTTTCCAAACAGTTTTTGGTAGCACATTATGTACCTGGATTCTGATAATGTTTTTTGAGTGGTCAGAAACTCTTGGAAGCGTGAATATATTTGTATGGAAAATGAAGTTACAGGGAGTAGCTTTGGAGGCCGTTGGGTGGATCCCTTCTTTATAGTCGCCTCGGTTTGTTTCCCTGGTAACCCTAGAAAGGGAAACATCAGCTCCGATTTCCCCAGGATTTAAAACAAGAAGAAGGTGGAGCTAGCACCTTTGTTGAGGCCTTTTAAGGGAAAGTACTTCCTCCTGCTCAAAAGAACAGACCCTGCTTTTGGCCCTGGATGAGCACATGCTTATTTGATCTGTTCCAAATATCAGAACATTAGACACCATTTCCTCCTTCCTTAAGAGGTGATATAGGTGGACCTCTCCATCATCTGACTGGGAGACCACCCCACAGAAAAGCTGATTCACCTGAAGACATATTGAGGAGATGGGAAGAAGAATTTGAGTTCTAACTCAAAAAAGCCTAAGTTTTCCTTCTTTCCACCTCCCTTTCTTTGGGATCATGGCCAAAAGCCTAAGCATGCTTCCCCATCCTCTGGGGTCTGCCACTGTTTCTTTAGCCCTTCTCCCCTGTGCCACTGTGCCCCCGCATGCCAGTCAGCACTGCTGGAAATGCTGCCTTTCTGGACCCTAACTCAAAAAGGAACGGCTTGCTTTCTTCTGTATCTCTGTTTTCCCAGTGGCTGCTGAGGTTTATAGCCTGCCCGCCCTGTTGTTTCCTGAAACTCAGAAAATGTCCTTGAGCTTCTGAGTCTCTTTTTAAATGCTTTTATTAAGAAGAATTAAAAAAAAAAAAAACAAAAAACAAAAAACAAAAAAGGAATCTGGATTTGCCTGGTAACAGTGGTACTTAGAAATAACAGTCTTTTATAGAGAATTGTAATGGAAATTTGTGTAGCTAGGTTCTGTTTCAAGTGCCCAGGGATTCTTGGAAGCCCCTCTGCTCTGCGTTTGTGTCCATGTATGTTGGTGGAGGAAAGACAGAGCTTATAAAGCAGTGGTTCTCAATCTCCCTAATGCTGTGACCCTGAAGTTATTTCATTGCTACTTCTTAACTGTAATTTTGCTACTGGTCTGAATCATAATGTAATATCTCTGTTTTCTGATAGTGTTAGGTGAGCCCTGTGAAAGGGTTGCTTGTTCCAAAGGGGTCATGACCCACAGGTTGAGAATCACTGTCTTAACGGCTTGAGGTGAGAATAAGGATCCTAGATTATTTTAGATTGGTTATTTTGGAAAATACCTTGGTATACTTGTATCCAGCCATGATTTTTGAGTTTAATTGGAAAAAGACAGCTACTTAAATAGAGAACCTTTAGTTATTTTCTTTGAAAACGGTTTGAAAATTGAAGAGGAAATGAAACACAGCCATCTAGTGGTTAGGATGTTAAGAGCACTGAGCAATAGTTAAGCACTATGAGCTCACGTTAATGTCTCTCAAGGGTCATTATTAAGCGTTCAAGCTAATCAGCGCTTATCACACAAAGGGACATATCCATTTGTCTTCCTAAATACTTTATACATATTAATGACAGGACAAAGTCTGTATGACAGTTGAGCTACAACATTGTTGCAAATACCCCAGAGGTCATTTGAACTGTTATAACATTCTAATGTTCTCTGTATAATTCTAGCTGTACTATTATTAATCACAGGTATTATAAAAGTCACATGTACACTGTGAAACACAGTGAAAGAGATCCAAGTGTCTCCCGCCTACACAGGTTAGCCTGCTGCCACAACTGAAACAGTTTCCTCTGTGCTGTCTGTACAATAACTTTTAGTTATTAAGAGCTTGCAAACTGTTGAATCAAAAGTGAATTATTTTCCAGGAGCAAGATAGTGCTGTGAAAAATATGCAGAAAAAAGTGGAACAGTTGGAAGCCGAGCATATGGACTGCTCTGACCTTCTGCGGCGACAAACGAGTGAGCTTGAATTTAGCACTCAGAGGGAAGAACGCCTGAGGAAAGAATTTGAGGTATGGCTTATCAGTTTTCACAATAGCTATATGTTCTTCCTGCAGTGACTTCAGGGTTAGAGGACTTTGTAAGTCAGGAGGAATGGGGACCACTTCTATTGTACATTTGGCTTCTTTGAAAAGTTTTATATACTAATAAAATATATTTTATTTCATCCTAATTAAAAGCATTTAGTCATTAAATTTTTGTTTATTTGTTTACTCATTTGTGTGTGAGTGTGTGTGTGTGTGTGTGTGTGTGTGTGTGTGTATGGTTGTGTGCATGCCATAACACTTGGATGGCTGTCCGAGGACACCTTGCAGGGAGTTAGATCTCTTCTTCCTTCATCTGGGCCCTGGGGGATTAGACTCAGTTGTCAGGCTTGGCAGCAAGAATGCTGGCCCAAACCTACTCATTGTTAGCAATAATTCTCATCAACTATTGGAAAGTTTACAAGTGATTTTTTACATTTTGAGGTTCAGGAAGCAACTGAAGAAGGTTTGGTATGTACAGGTCTTAAGTGAAAAAAGTTAAAAAACTTCCGTTTTTGTGATTATGATGATTTACTTTATTATTTAGTTTTGCAATACTGAGGATCAAACACAGGGTCTGGTACATGCTAGGCAAGTGCTTTTTCACTGAGCTACTTCCTGAGTTCCATTTTAGATTAAGGTGGGTGTAGAGGAAATGGCAAGATTTGGGTATGTTTTGAGAGAATCAGCTGGGGTTGCTGACTTACTGGGTTGTGAGAGGTAATATCAAAGATATTTGTTAATGTTAACCACTAGTAGTTTCTAATTAATAATGTATGTGTGTGTGTGTGTGTGTGTGTGTGTGTGGTGTGTGTGTGCGCGTGTGTGTTTACACATGTGAACACGACTTCCACAGCATGTGTGTGTTGGGCAAAGATCAGCTTGCAGGAATTGTTTTTTCTGCTATGTGGGTCTTGGGGTTCCAACTCAGGTCCTCAGTCTTGGCAGCAAGCACCTTTACCTGCTCAACTCTCTCATACCTGTTTCGTTTGTTTGTTTGTTTGTTTGTTTGTTTGTTTGTTTGTTTTTATTTTAGATACAGGATTTCACACTCTAAACCAGGCCGGCTTAGAACTTGCTGTGTAGCCAGGCTGGTCTTGAACTCATGACAGTCCTCTTACCTCAGTCACCTGTTTTTGAGATTACAAGTGTGTGCAACAGACCCTGCCATCAATCACCATCGAAGAGAGATGACTGGCATTTCCATTTCCTGAGTGGGAGGGGTTAAGCCTCACATGCCTGTTAACTGTCTGGTGGAGAGGTCAGGCAGCCAGTTGAAGAGGAGGCTGGGGCTTTTGCAAACTTTACTGTGTGGGGTATTTGGAGATTTTCAAATGCTGCAGTCTAGGACTCGGCACTTCTGTAATTTCTCCTAAGAGCCATCCCTTAATCTCTAGCTTGGTTGTTATAAAATGCCAGAGGAAATGCAGCATGGGGTCATACCTTATGCAGTCTTGCCTCGGACTTAAGTCTGCACTTTTCCTCCTTTTTTCCTGTGCATTTCTTTGTCTAGCCTCTGGTTTAGGTTTCCTCTTCAGCGTGTGTGTGTGTGTGTGTGTGTGTGTGTGTGTGTGTGTGTGAAGGTTAGGAAGGGGCAGTTGTTTGTGGTAGGGGTGGATGCATAAAGGTCTCACTTTTCATATTGCTGGTTAAAAATTTGAGATTTAATTTGCATATGATAAATTTACCCATTTGAAGTGTACAAGTTACTCATCTCTGGTGCATTCACAACATTGTACAATTATCACAATCAATTGTGTAATGTTTTCACCACCCCGGTGAGGAACTTCATCTTTATTAGACACCTCTGCCTATTTCTTCATCCCTTGGGGCCACAAGCAACCATTAATCTGCTTCCTTTTTTTGTAGACTTATCTTCTCTGATATTTCATACATGTGCAGTTACAGTATTTAATCTTTTGTGGTTGACTTTTTCAGTTAGCATAATATGTGCAGTGTTTAGACATGTTATAGCATGCATCATTTTTCTGTTCCTTATGAACAAATGATATTTTTTCATACATTTCATCTTATAAATGCATATATTAGTTGATGGACATTTGTGTTATTTCCATATTTTGGCTAATAGTGACAATATTGTAATAAACATTTATGTCTAAGTTTATGAGGGTATATTGTCTTGAATGTATACCTAAGGATATATACATACATACATATATATATATATATACCTAAGGATGTATACCTTGGATATATACCTAAGGATGGATATATATATATATGTATATGTATACACACACACACACACACACACACACACACACCTAAGGATGTATACCTTGGATGTATACCTAAGGATGGAGTTGCTGGGCATGATAGTTGGCCTTAGTTATTAATTTGAGTGGGCTAAGGGATACCTAGGACTGTGACTTGCACCTGTGTGTTTGTGGGAGCATTTCAAGGGAGGATTGGCACAGGGGTGGAAAGGACTTGCTTTGAATGGGGTGGCACCTTAAAATGGCAGGCTGCCTAGATGAGGAAGGCACATCAGAGAAAGACGGCGCCCGAGGCTTCAGGCCCCCTTTCTGAGTGTCTGTGTCTGTGGCACACTGACCTCACACCCCACTCTTTGCCCTTTAAACGGGATTCAAAGAGGCCTCCAGGGAGCTGGTTGGCTTTCAGCACTGGACTGGGAGTGCTGAGGTGCCTGTTCTTGGCCTTCCTAGTGTGTAGATGGCCATTATAACCCAGCTCCCATTGTTTAAACCAACCAATAAACCCCTTTTATGATATACATGTATTCTCTTGGTTCTGTTCCTCTGGAGAGTCCTGGCTAATACACCAGATCACATGGTAATTCCCTGGCTTTGAGGGGCTGTCAGATTGCTGTGCACTATTTCATATTCCCAACAACAGTGCATTGGCTGTTCCACTTTCTCCATGTTCACCAGCCTAATTAATGCCAGCCTTTAAAATAATAAATACCATAGTGAGTGTAAAGTGCTGTTTCATTTATCATGAGGTTAAGTATCACGCCATGTACTTATTGGTCATTTGTGTATCTTTTTTGGAGAAATATCAGTGCAGTCCCATTTTTCAGTTATAGAGTGGGTTATTTCTACCACACTAATAAAAGGTGTGTACAGTGGCCGGGCGGTGGTGACACACGCCTTTAACCCCAGCACTTGGGAGGCAGAGGCAGGTGGATCTCTGTGAGTTTGAGGCCAGCCTAGTCTACAGAGTGAGTTCCAGGACAGCCAGGGCTACACAGAGAAACCCTGTCTTGAAAAACAAAACAAAACAAAAAAATGTGTACAATGAGGGAGCTGGATGTATAATATGTAGGAATTCTCTTTGGTAATATGAAGTATGAACTTTGCAAATATACAGTTACATGCTCACTAGAAATAAAGTAATTTTATATGGTTAAAGAATATGTTTAAAAATCAGATTATATTCCAAGTAACACTTTAAATTTATTTTCACGTGTGTTGAATATCTTTTGGCTAATAAAGGCTGTATGATGATTTTTTTTTAAAGGTTTTTGAGAAAAGGTTTCTCTGTGTAACCCTGGCTGTCCTGGAACTCACTCTGTAGACCAGGCTGTTCTTGAATTCACAAAGATCTGCCTGCCTCTGCCTCCTGAGTGCTGAGGTTAAAGGCGTGAGCCACCACTACCCGGTAATATTTTATATAATTTAAAAATACTATGTAGTTTTATATGGCTTGTTAAAAAGGTTGGTGTGGAGTAAGTGCTCTGAATATTAGAATAAAACAATGTAGATGCCAATTAGGAGTCTATCAAATGCTGTGCTCACCTTTAAAAACATTTTGATTACTTTATAGTTGTGAGACAGCATTAGGTAGTAGTGGGTTTCTTTTTGTTGCTCATTTAATCAATTAATTTGATACTTAAAATTATTTATTTTTATGTGTACGACTGTTTGAATGCATGTATAATGTATACACCACATGCATGCCCAGTACTCTTGGAGGTCAGAAGTGGGCATTGGAACCCTTGGAACGAGAGTGATTGATGTTTGTGAGCCACACATGGGTGCTGGGAACTAAACCAGGGTCTTCTGCAAGAGCCACGAGTGCTTTACTGTGGAGTTATCTCTCCAGCCCTACACTACTTGCTTTCCTTAATTTTATGTATGTATGTATGTATGTATGTATGTATGTATGTATGTATATGTATGTATGTAGTGTGTATGTGTACGTGTGGTTGTGGGTGTGCATGTGCCATAGCACATGTATAGAGCTCAGATGCCAACTTGCAGGAGTTGGTTCTCTTTCTTCTGTGTGCATCCTGGGGCTTATACACAGGTCATTATTCTTGGCAGCAAGAGCTTTTACCTGCTGAGCTCTCTTACCAGTCCTGCTGTTAGTTTTAAGTAAGCCACTTTTGACTTATTGGAGAAAGAGTTTAATGTCTAAACTTTAACATGTGTCTATGGGTAATTCTATATTGATTTTTCCCCCTATGTAAAGTATTTAATTGCTGTGATATTGATTGACTTCTGCTAAGGGCTAAAGTTATTTTAGGTTGATTTTGATTTTTTAATTTGTTAAAAATTTAAATTAATTGTATGTATATGTATTTCATATATGTATGTGTGTTTTGCTCTCATGTGTGTCCATGTACCACATGTGTCTCTGATACCTGCAGAGACCACTGGAGGACCTTGGATTCCCTGGAACTGAAGTTACCGACCATTGTGAGCTGCCACATAGATATCAGGAATTGAACCCAGATCCTGTAGAGGAGCAGCCAGTGCTCTTAACCAGCCCTAACCAGCTAATTTTAGACTGATTCATGGCTGTTCTTAGTTATGTGCTATAGATTTTTGTTCCTATAGGAAATACATGGAAGAAGCAACTCTAAGGAGGAGATACATATTTGGGCTTCGAGTTTGCGGATATAGTTCATCACGCCAGGGGAGCACTGGAGTGGTTCCTAGCTGACCTGGAGTCTGAGCTAGGTTGTTGCACATCAGCAGTCAGGAAGGAGAGGGAACTTGGCA